AAAGTCATCCTTCGAATTAGTTAAATTTACCGACATAAGTATTTTATTTATTTATTTTATTTTGTTTTGTTCATTTTTTTAGTATTCAATGACAAAATATGGTCGGTATCGAATGCTTGAACTTGAAACCTTGGGTACTCCGGATTCAACTCATGCAAAATTTCTAATCCACTAAACCATAATTTTTGTTCCATTGATTGGCTCGGTAAAATGCTACGTGAATCCATGTCTAATGGGTTATTCTTCAACCTTACGTGATGCCAGCTAGCTTTTAGAGTTAATCGCAGGATATTTGCACACCGATCGAAAACGAAAGTAGGCCACTTCGAAGGTGGTGAGTGGAGCCAATAAAGGACATTTAAGAAATCAGTTCAAGGATGAACAGGTACATCTTAAATTGGACAATAACTGAGGAAGAGATTCACTGTTTTTGCTAAAAGCTGAGCTACACAAAGTTCTAGCCATGAAATACTAAACTTTTTTTTGGAGCTGGCCTCCGTTTTAGCTAATTGGAGAGTCACGTGTATCTTTGACTATTCGAACATACACCACTGCTGTGGAAACTGATTTGGAAACGTCTGCAAAGCCATGGATCTCAAATGATTGATAACGAGGTGTGTAGTGATTCCAGCAGGATAAACAGATTTTATTTAATTGAAGTATCTCATTTGACCAATTTCGTTCAAGCAGTGGCAACAGAGTTTGGCAAATGGTCATCCCATGATATTTAAAGCAACCAAAGGAATCCGAAAAAATTTTTAGCGATGATTATAACTGGAAAAAACCGTTCTAAGGGATTAAATATTTTCACGAGCTGAGTCTTTAGGGGTCGGTATGTCCAACACTGACGGGGTGAGCTAATATTGTTTTGAAAAAGAAAATTGTCGTTGTTTCGATTCCAGTGTAACTCAAAGATAATGATGACCTCACCATCATCTACAAACTTCTTAGTTCTATTAACATAAAGTTTCTTTGGGGTATCTGTCAAAACTGCAGGAGAAACTTCCGACCACTTTTTAAGTGGGAAACCACCAAGAAAGATAATCATCGACATAAAATTCATCTAAAATAATACAAGCAGCCTCAGAATGCGACATTAAGTGTTCTGCATCAATTTGGATCGATAAGAATTCGGTGAAAGATTTTCTCAAACTCTGCAGTGAAGAGAAATTCATGAAATTGCCATTTCAAAATAATTCCATACAAATTTGTCAACAAATTGGGGTCTGAATGAAGTAAGAAATCCAGAGAACTTGTATTAGGACCTTTGGAAGATCTATTAAATACTACACGTAGTTTAGCAGTAGTAGCATCAATTTTTTTAGCTTCATGATAAGTTAAGTGACAAACTCCAAGATTCGAGCCAGCTAACTGTCTCATATGTCCAAGAGTTTATAGTTATTTATAAATGGCTCATAGGCAGTGTAAAAATTATGACCTGTTAGAAATTTATTCTTAAGGTGCTTAAATACAACAAAGACACCGAATGAAAAGACTTTCGATGTAAGTCAGTTCGATCGAGGTGGTCAAATTTGAACGGTTAGCTTACAACAAATCGACCATTGGGTTGACGATAATGTGTATCAATGAAATGTTACTCACATTTTAGATCATTAGCACTTAACGTACTAACCAAAGATTCTTTTGGAGCCAAAATTTTCGAACAAGATCTAGTAACTGAGGTAACTCTACAATATGTAAAACTACGGTTTGGGATACAGTATCAGCTTGACTGCTTGCAGGGCCAAACAATAGCCATCCTAACTCAGTTAAAACTGCCATAGGCTGAGTAGGTAATCCTTTACGAACAGCATTATTAATTATAATCGTATGAACCGATGCATCAAGCAATACATACATTGTGCCGAGGCTATCACAGGTAAGCTTAGCCAACTGCAGTTAATTTAAAAAACTCAAATCTACCAGATCCTTGCAAAGAGGTTTATACGAAGAAATTTGGGGTACGATTAGAGCCTCTAATTTAAGGCTAAAGTTGGAGTTAAAACGTGGTTGAAATATGACTGCAGTTTTCATAGAACTTAAAACTTGATTTCAGCACCAGAGGTTCAAGCGTCAATAGCCTGCTTTTTTTAACGCAAAAGATCACAGAGAGATTTGGAAATTAAAAAACACTTAGAACCCTCGTATACAAGAATGCTCACTGCAAGGCAAGTACTGAAAGAATCTAAAACATAAATAATAGCTGTGGGCAAAATAATACTAGGTATTCGAGAGAGACTGAGACCTTTGAGTGTGTTACAATGGCAAGAACCTCTCTGGACTTCATAGTTTTAACTAGGCTTCAAATTTTTGTCAGATTTCCTATTAAAATCTTGGGGGTTTTGAACCTTACCGGCTGTATTAGATTAAGTTGTGATAAGATCATTATCATGCAATAGTGTATAATGTTTCTTATGACAAATAGAACATGCGTATTTTGAGTTACACTTTTTTCATTTGTGTTTACCAAAACAACTAACGCAACGTTAGTTGTCATTGATAAACCGTTTATTATTCACCTATGTTTTATCTTTAAAAACATCACAGACTTGCAGTCAATGATTCTGATTGCACAAAAGATATTTGACGCTGGGCTCTTTTTGAACAATAGTTTTCTGATGAACATACAAAAACTTAGTCAGTTTGTTCTTAGAGTTGTCAGAATCGCTGTTAGACGCGGATCTCTCACTAGAAGCTTCAACAGTTATAATTAAGGCTAAAATAAAATTTCTTAACTGTTAGAAGATAGAAGGATCGATGGAGCTTCCAAGAATGTCTTTGCCAATCTTTATTTGCGAAGAAATTAAATTTACTACAAATTATTGATAAGAAAACACCTTCATCCCCTTTTCTTGTACCTAAAGTAATCAAAGAGTCGAAAGGCCTTGTAGTTTTCATTGCAACACGTTTAAGTTCAATTGAAAATCTATTCTTCGTTGCTTGATAATTCACTATAGTATTAGTATAGGAAGTAACAAGACGGCATCTATCGTCAAAAAATCATACTAAAGTGTGCCACGCTTGAGAATAATTTTCTTCTGGTAATGGGATGTTTTTTATTAGATGGGGTGCGTCAACAGATACATGGGTGGGCGAATGTTGGAACTTGATAAAAACAGGTAGTTTTGCTTTCCTATAAGCTAAAGCTTTTAATACGTTACTGAAATTTTTTCAAGCTTCTAAGTTGAGGAGAAAATCGGAATGTTAACCGAAGGTAACGAATAGTAATTTAAGAAATTGTTTTGATTATGGACTGCTTATAAATCATTTTGATTAATGGGGCCCGTATTTAACGGTAGAAAAAAATCTTCAAAATCTCCTACAACTGAATAGTATTGATCCTGACCATTATCAAAAACAGTATCCTTAAAATAATTATGGTTATAGGCCACGGTTTCTAACTGCAGAATACTTTCATTGACCTCTTTAAATTGTTCAAATAAGTCCTTGACTGTATTCTAGATAATGATTGACCTTTGGTCATTTTTGCCTGTCCTAATTTTCTAAGATTAGTGTAAATATTTTTTAATTAAAAAAAAAGTTTAGCTAAGTTCTATATATCCATCTATGATCAATTAGGAAGGGCAAGACTAGTGAACTATCAGACCAGCTAAAATTATCCTCGCTATTTGATATTACTTCACAAATTAACTAAATCTACTCAAGATTGACTAAATCTTCAATTTGTTTATTCAATGCCTATTGAACTAATTCGCATCTCCGGTTTACAAGGGTATTAATGAAATTAATACACTACAGTAATTTAGGTAGTCGTATCAACTGAAACAACGAAGTTGAGCAATCTCAACGAGAAAATAAGATAGCGGTAACCCTACTGATTTATTTTACTGCTGTATTGACAGTGTTTTGCAAAAAATTAACAAATTCGCAGAAACATTTACACAGTTAATGAAATCCCAATACTAGTAACTACCTTAGTTACATAATTTCGGTGGAATTGACTTCCGATGAAGGATACAAACATTAGCCGTTGTAACATAGTTGACAAGGGGTGTCAAAGAAGTGAATCCAGCGTCAGTTCTGGAGACGGGTAACAGCAACAGTCTCAATGGCAGCACGTAGCTCAACGGAGTCTGAGCGTTCCACAGCAGCAAGATCACGCAAACATAATGGCAGCCCACAGCAGCTATAGCACGACAATGTTACTTATTTGTAATATTTTTGAATCAGTATAATTTCTCAAAATTTGCGTTATTGACTAAGATACCCATCAAATGTATCAGGCGTGTATTAAGCAGAACTGATTATTAGATACTAACATTCTTAAAAAAATGGTAACAATAATAATAATAACATATTTGTATCTTGGACCTTGTTCCTCAAAAATTCATAAAAAACGCCATAGGAGATAAAAGCTTAAAAACAACGATGCAAAGAAGTTATAATTAGTACATCATAAGTACAAACTATTGTTCTTATTAGTATAACAGGTGTCAAATAAATTAGAGTATTTAACACAGTCATTAACACAGAAGTTATCACAAAAATTCACGAATGTAGTGAGACTAAGCTTCAACACTGTATGTTTATACATTAACACAATTATATGTATGTGTTGACAGGTAAAGTAAATAAAACACATTGTCTTTAATGTATCCAATCATATAATTAATTGTAAAATTTAACACATTTTACACTAAGCTTATTAGGATGTTTTATTTGAAACCTTACAAATAATATAAATGTATACAAGTACATGTATATTTCTACAAATTTTATTAAGAACTTTTTCTATATTTTTTCTAAATTTTTTCTACTAAACGTGTTTAAGAACGATATGACATGCGAAAAAAAAACATAAATAAGTTTTCTTTAAAAAACCTTACATTCGATGCAATACTCCAATATATACACAAACTATTTCGACCTTAACCTATTGTAAATATACTTTTTTTTCAGATGCTAAATATTTAAAAAAATATCCACTGGAGGAATTGGTTTTTGGTAATAAACAAAATTCACTTATAATAATTCAGTGGTAGAGTAATAGCAAAAAATCTTTTTATTCAATTAGACTGTTATCAAAATAGGATTTGGAGTGATGAATTATAACTTCTCACTATTTTTACAGTGTTATGTCAGCATTTGTTACTTATCTGTACATTGTTTCGTCCTCTCAAATAATTAATACGCAATGTTTGAATATCTGGCTGCCTATCAAATACATTTCTTTTTTCCGATGTTCGTGTATATTTTCTCATGAACACGCTTTTTTTATACGTATGTGGAAACTATATTTTTTGTATGCATTTATACGTATGTATAAAAAGAAGTGTTTTCATTAGAAAATATATACGAACATATGTACATATATATAAGTATATATATACATGTAATAACATGAAGTAATTCTAGACATTTGTAAGGACCTGTTTACAAAATCAGATGCAGAGAAAAAAGGACCAACTGAAATATTTGAATGAACCATATGTACATCATCAACTCCATGCTAAATCATACTTAGTCCATTGAACACGTGGTGCCAGAAAAATTCTTCTATGATTAAGGTAAAAAGTAACAATTCCATGATAACCAGTTCTAGGAACACCACTCTGAAAAACATAAAGAACAACGCATGTTAATGAACGTTATAAAAATATACGTATGGATCATACTTAAATAAATCTAGTAAGAAATAAAAATTTGAAATAAACTCTGCACGTGCACTTCAGAAAAGACGCAGAATCTAGTAAAGCGTAAGTTTAGAGTAATTAAGCTTAAATACAGTACATTACAGAAGAAATAAGTCTTCACAAGACGTAGCAAAAATAAACGCTTTTTGTGGTTCAGTCGAAAAAACACGTTAACGCACACCTAGGTTATTTTCCAGGTCAGACTCAGGGTCCCAAAGAATTACCATCCGTGTCTAGCTTTCCCCATTGGTTGCAAATTTTGAAATCATCTTATCTTGCTAGCTGCTTATCCATAGTAATAAGTAGGAATACTCAGGGCAGTGCACGATCACATGATTTTTTTACAAAGTAAACTAGACTTTTTATCTTTTTTTATTCCTAAGGACTGTCTAAACAAACCTAACAACAGCCCTCTAAGCGGCGATGTGACTCAACATGACATCGACGATGTTTTAAAGCATAACTACCCTACCTATGCGACCCTCTAACTACTGCCACTGCTCACGCTACTGCCCACACTAAATATAAGTGTGTTATGCTGGGTTCTTTATCTTAGGATGGTTACCATAAACAAGTGTTAGTCTAAACGCCGTTTGGTAAAGATATGTACTAAACAAGTCAGGTAAAATTAGCTGATTCATGGCCTACAAAACCTTAAATTGTGAACTTCCCTTTTAAACTCTTTTGTTAGATAATAACAATAGAAATGACATATTAGGTTTCAACGCTAATCCAAAAATTTTTTTTCTGATTTCTGTACATTTTAGAACGAAAAAGAAAACTACAATGATGATACAATCGTATATTTACTAACAGTTAAGCATACGCCTCACATGCACACAAATAACAACAGTAATAATACACTGTTTTTGAAATTCAGCATTTTAGAAATTTCAAAATAAATCAGAAACGAAGAATAATTGAGTTATAAGGCTATATATATAATAATAATTATAACAATTGCTTTTTTTGTTTCTAAACGTAAAAAAATTAAAAAATGTTTTAGTCAAAATTTTGCGTAATTTTCCATATAGCCGTGATTCGAGCTTGACGGCCCCCCACCAGCGGACTGTGGAAGCTCCAATTTTTTGAATTAATTTTTTTTACACTTTGGCTAAGTAAAATAGTACAGTATTGCAGGGTGTTGTAGATCAACTTTCAATTAACAAAAACACATTTAAAAAATTGGTCTACGTTGGCCCACGACTTTTTTATGGCCATTTTTCGGTTTTGCCAAAGTTTCTCAAAAAGTATAACATCGATCTTGCTAAAATTTTGTATGGGTATTGAAGCCTATAAAACACATATCCCGAGTTAGATTTAAGTCTTTACATGCAACGGAACAAAAAATGTTAAATTTTGAAAAAAATGTCACAAAAAAGTGGTTTTCTGGAATTTACTAAAAAACAACTGGACCAATCAGAGCTTAAAAAAACTCAATTACATATTTTTAATACGCATTTTTTATTTTATTAAACTTTATTTGTCAAATGCACAGTTTTTCTGTAAATCACAAAAAATTAACTTAGACGATTATTGCCATTTTTTTAACCATCTTCCCCTATTTGGATCGGTGCTCAAACTTGATATGTTATTTGTATTAGTATTATATAACAAAAAACATTCTCTAAGTTCCACAATCTTATGTACCGGATTTGCTAGCTTTACCTGGCTAAACTGCCTATTATTCAAGAGAAGCTGGGTAAGGTTATATTAGTTTACTTTACCATAGTCACACCCATTGTATAGTACAAGTGGTAGTAATTTTTTTTTGGTAGAAGGAAAAGCGGCTTAATGCACATCACATGGACTACGGTATTATGAGACTCTGTAAGTTTTTTTAACTAGACCGGAAATACCCACTGAGCCCCCCTCCCCATGCTGTTTGGCTCTAGTTCCAACCTGGAACAGCATAAGCATTATACCTAGAAGCATTCGCAAACAAGCTCGCCAAAATTAGCGTTTACACCTCTAAGAAGCCTTGCCTTTTGACTTGCGTCCTACTTGATCCTTTTTAAAGTTCAACTTTTTATGTTGGGCCATGAACAGCCACATGAAGGGGATTACATTATGAAAAAGTAAAGCCACCCACCCCACGGCCCAAGCCCTGTCCTCCATCTCCTCTCTTACACACTCCCTTCCACTCCGTCCCTCTCTCGTGCAGTGCACGCAACTCTACTGTCTACCGCTCCATCTTTCTCTCTCTCTATATTTCTCACTCTATCTTCCTCTCTATCTTCCTCTCTCTCTTTCTCTCTCTATCTTCTTCTTCTCTCTCTCTCTTTCGCTCTTTCTTTCTGTCTCTCTCATGTACGCAACGCGCTCTCTTTCCCTTACGCTGCTACTATACCTATATATACATATATTATATGTATGTATGTTTCTACACTACGACTCAACCGCTGCACTTGATCCATCCGATTGAGATGCAATTATTGAGACGCAAAATCATATGTTACACGGATTCATACAAACAATCGTAATAATTTTAAAAATAATAAGTCATACCTCAAAAGCAAAGCTACATTTTACATATCCCAGCTATAAATTGATTTATTTTATGTTCTCTATCATATATTGTACATGATAATTGTTATGTGACAAAAACCTATATTCTTATTATTAATTTTGAGATTAGTAGTAATTAGTTATAAGCTTGGCTAAATTTCTACATTAAATTATAAATAATCATAGAAAACGAATTGAATGAAAAATTACAACTGTACAATAAAAAATAGCTATATATGTCTATTGTTTTTCTTAATCTCAATCAGGTAAAGTAGATTATTTTACTTTTATGCTAGCCAAAATTTAAAAAATTTTATTTGTTGAATGCAATGCTTCCAACAAGAATTGATTTTACATATATAATGTCATATAAAATGTACGTGTAGTAATTAACTTTTTTCGGGTCAGTATGATGAAAATTTTTGTTACGTTCTGCATTACATGACCAACAATTAGTACATGTATTAATTTATATATTATACCAAACATGGAAAAACATAGAATGCACGAATCAAGTGTAACACAAGTGGTATGTGTTGCGTTGCAAAAACGAAGGCGGACGGGCTCGTGTCAAGGTGCCTATATGCGTGAGCGTGTGTGTACAAGTGAGTAAAGGCTAGGTGGTTGGCCTGCGAACGGGCGCAAACAGGAGTAGTCAGGTGGCTGGGACGAGAGGTGGCACAGGACAAGGCAGAAAAGGATTGAGAAAGGAAGGCTGGTGTTTCGGTAAGAGGTGAATCATGGGGGGTGGAGCACGAGGGCGGACTTCAGATGTCGATCAAGCTTGGTAAGAAGTCGTTACGATTCCACACAAAGTCTTATTATGACTCGCTAAATCGAGTCTTTCGATCAGACATTGCCTCACATGCGCTCATGGTGTGTCAGCTATTTAAAGGCAGCCCCACAAAATCGAATGACATTTCACATTTCGAGAAGTGCAACGGCACGCCGTTACCTCCGAAAAGTGCATCATCGCCACACACTTTCGAAAAGCGTGGTCAATTACACACGACTTACGCATCTAGTGACGCACTTCTGAGAAGCCACCACGCAACAATTTACAGAGGCCACCGAGTGGCATAAAAGTCTTAGTTGTTGACCGGTCGCTCTCGACAGGGTGATCGCGTGGTCAAGTGTAACGAGGTAATCAATAGTGTGCATGTTAATACTCATAACCTCTCGTCACGGGCTGTGTTCATATATCCGTATTATTGCAGACCTAATCCTCGAGTTCGATGCTATAAATTAAGAAATCATTTCAACCTTAGGGTTTAATAATCCACGGCGTCTGTCTAAGTCAAGTAGATATAGTTGTCAGATAAGGTTCGTACCTGATTTAAGTCTATTATTTTTATCAGTAATTCTTCATTATTGCTCTGATAGCGCTTTAATTTATGTTGTTGAAATGCGACTACATGTTGAAGTCATGCGTCATTGATGACTCTTGTGATAGAGTAATGAAAAGACTGTCTTTCTGTCATAATGTAAGATTTAAGGCTTGTTGTTTTAAAAATAAATAAAATCAATTTCTAACTAGCATTTATGAGCTTTTCTTTAAACATGCAGGCCTAAGGTGGATGTCTGCAACCACGAAACAGTATGTATAATTATATGTATTTCATGCACGCACGTGCTTGAATACGTAATAATAACAAATTTTTACTATTTCGATATTAGATTCTTAAAGATCTGTTGGAATTAGGTGTAATCTAATATTCTTAGTTTCTGTTATACCAAGTTCAATAACATTCGAGTTGGAAGTTTCACTTCTGCCAGGGGTCCCAAGACCCACACCTGGTTTTTTCCGGTCTCTTTTGGCGCTCGTCTGAATATCGGACATCTAACACTGCCAGCTTTATGGTTCTTGTCTTCTGTCTCGTGGATGACACATCGTGCTTGGGTCTCACAATCATTTTTCCGATAGTTATAGCTGCAACACTCGAAGTAGTCATAGTAGTTGTAAGAGTTTTTTTTTGTGGAGGAAGAGGAAATACATTGATGCATATCGCAGGGACAACGGTAGTGTGCGACTCATTTTCTACTGTTACGCAGAGAAAACACCTTCCTCATACACACTAGGTTTTTATAAACATTGTGCCATTTACGTTTTCTCGTACCAGGTGTCGCATAGGAGCGGATAATCAAGCAGACGAGCGCCTGGAGCCTACAAACACTTTAAAAGGAAGAAATAAATAATATAAATGTAATTGTAAAATTATTTAAATATTTGTATTGATTGATTGGAATATAAATTAATAAAAATGGGCAAAAAATGTTGTGCAAAAGACTGTAAAAGTGGCTTACCATTATTTAGTGCACCAAAAATAGCATAAGTCTTTTTACATCGTGGAGCAAGGTCACTTCAGTGGCTTGTGGAGTAATTCTAAAAAGAAGAAGTTATATTTGTAATA